TGTTGTTTCTCACGTTATCAAGTTTGTTGATAATAGTTTCTTAAATGACGCCAAACAGACGTCCCAATTAATTTGAAAAAATGGCACGCATGCCATTGAACAGAAACGGCCACTTCGTGAAAATATAATTCATATTCTATCGAATGGTCTGAAAAAAATATACAGGGTTTCATTTAAAAGGCTTGACTTGGGTCCACTTCTGTATATCCTGATTTAATGATGAAGTAATTTTATCGTTGAAAAAATCGGTCCTAATTTCAAATATCAAATTCATAATCTCACAGACAATAAATTAAGTCTTTTTTTCGCCATGATCAACTGTTGATTTACTCCCATTTTATTGACATTTTTTACAGCACCATGAACAAGTACAAAAATACAGTTTAACTCTGGAAACATTATTGTTCACACAGAATCTGGATCACCATATTCTTGAAGTATTCCAACAATTTGTATCTTTGAGAGTCTCATTATGTATTTCCTTATACTAGGTAAATACTGTAACAATTTTTATTTCATACACGTCTATATGAAAGTTTGAATTTGATAAAAGAATATATTCTTCTCATCGTATTTGACATTGTATAAGTCCAGAATGAAATTCAACTCACTATTCCAAATTTCTTTCAAATCTTCTTCATATTTCATTAACTGCGTTTCAACAAACTCTGTAATACTTTCCTTACTTTTTGCTATAGTTCTTTCCAACTCATTCAAATATTCTTCTGGGATATCATACGTCCCTTCTGTAGACACTGAATGAACAGTGGGCGATTTCATATCAGTTGAATCAGGTGGACGAAGAAGACCATTACTCAAATAATCAAGTATAAGTTTGCTCGCGCCTGAAATAAATACAAAAATTAGCCCTGATTGAGTTGGAAATATTTTCTGTACAACTTTAAAACTCTATATATACTTGTTTGTTTCTGAAAGAGATTTCTTAAAATTTCAAGGAAAAAAATACAACTTACATATATACATACATATATACACACATGTATACATAGATACGTAAAGACATATATCTATTGAGACACCAACAATAACTGAATATGAATTACTTATCTGAAAGTAAAAACAGTAAATCTTCATTAAAATATTCTTGGACATAGTAGAACACTTCCTTGAAGGGAAATATTTTAATAGGTACTCTGAAAATGTCTACAGAGAGGTTGTTACATGGTATATCAATAATTTTTCTATTGAAATTGTTGACGGTCACGAGTTACATACAAAAATAAAATAAATAGGGAAAGTAGACTAGTAGTTCCTTTGTAAAGTCAAGAATAGTCTAACATCATATAAAATTTGTAATTATTCAGTTTATCAAATTGTATCAATGATTAGTTTTCAAAAAACATGAATATTTGATAAAAAACCTCAATTGAAGCAGTTGGTAGGATTTAGAAAGGCACTATTAGTCCGATTCCAAATCAGAACTGAAACTTGAATGAAAAAATATAAATATACGTACATATACACACACATACATGGAAATAATAAAGACGAATTATTATTATTATTATATATGCTTGAATATGATTATCAACATGAACATAAATACAGATAATATATGTTATATTAGAAAACAATAAATATTTTGATACGATTTTGAAAGTGATTCTTCTGGTGTTTTTCCACAATACCTGACTCGATAAAATAGCTACAGATTTCAAATAATATCAAACTTAGCGAAAACA